AGGGCTTGTTTCAGTGGACCAGGAAGCGGTGAGGCCTCCCCATGGGTCCTCTAGCCCCAGTAGGGGCAGCGGGAACTCTTGAGGCTCACAGTGTTCCCTCTAAGCTGAGTTAGTGTGAGCTAGCTCACAGTTTTTTAGCCCCTGGCTCACACATTTTTGTCTTAGCTCAGGAAGGATGACTCCAGAGCAGACTCATTTATGCAGTATCCAAATCGCTTGCTCACAACTTTAATGCCAGTAGCTCAAAAAGTAGAATTTTTGCTCAAAAGACTCGACAGCTTAGAGGGAACATTACTCACCACCAGGGAAGTTTAGTTTTCCAGCCCTCCTTGTAAGAATCCTGTCAGCTAGGCCCAGGCCACTAATATACTCCAGGGAGCACAAAGGGGGAAATGATGAAGGTAACAGAAAGCAGCTTCCGCGTGGCCAGCGCACTCACAGCTTGGCTGCAATTTGAGCCTGAGGCCGTATAGGTCAAAGTTCACCACTGTGGCCATCATTATGCAGTTCTGATAGAAGTCAGGCTAGTGGGACTGAATAAACTCCAAAACATTTCTGTATTACTAACTGACAGGCCTCAGGTCCTAGGGTTGCCAGCCTCCAGGTAGTGACTGGAGATTGCAACTGATCTCCAGAAGACAAGAGATCAGTTCCCCTGGAGAAAATGGCCGCTTTACCAGGTGGACTCTACTTCATTATACCCCATTGAAGATCCTCCCCTTCCCAAACACCACCCTCCTCAGGCTCCACCCCCCAAAAATCTCCAGTTATTTCCCAACCCAGAGCTGGCAACCCTACTGTCTTCTCACTTTCTATGACTCCACCCCCCCTACCTGGAGCTGCTCGTCTTCTGTTGGTTGCCCTGGGATATATAAAAGGGGTACACGGGGGGAGTGTCTAGACCATCGGAAGGAAGTTCTGTTGTCCATTCCCATTCTATATTACTTGTCCGTTGGACCCCGCTGTGCCTCTACGTGACTCATTTGGTTGTAGAGCTTGTTCCACAATCCTGTTTTTGGCTGATTTGGCAGAAGGGGTGAATTAAGAGACGCTAAGACACTAAGCAGTGTCAAATTTGAGTCCCCATTAGGGTTGCCAAGTCCTTGTAGCAGCGGCAGCGAGGGACTCCCAGCTGGTGGCTGGAGCGCGCACGCGTGCCACAAGCACGTCTCCCGGAAGTGACGTGATGACGCCGGGCATGCTGGGGGTGGGGCCACGACCATCCGAGGGAAAACCATAGAGTTTTCCCTTGGATGACCGTGGCCCCGCCCCCAGCCCAGCGTGCCCGGCGTCGTCACGTTACATCCGGGTGATGTGCACGACGGGGGGGGGTTCCCCCTGGGGCCCGATCCGCCGCCGGTGGGGAATGGGCCTCTGGGGTGGGGTTTCCCCGCCCCTCCCGGGGGGCTTGGCAAACCTAGTCCCCCTCACTCTTAGCCCTGACCTGGACAGCCCAAGCTAGCCTGATCTCAGTCAGATCTCCGAAGCCAAGGAGGGTTGGCCCTGGTCACTGTTTGGATGGGAAACCACCAAGGAAGCCCAGGGTTGCTACACAGAGGCAGGCCATGGGAAGACCACCTCTGTTTGACTCATGCGTTGAAAACCCTACGTGGTCACCACACCCCTCCCAATACTTTTGAGTGTATGTGATTTTTAGGGTTTTCTTAAAACTCAGAGACCCAGCCCCCTCATACTCTGTAGTTTACTTTAGCTTGAGCATAAATCCAGCTCTGCTCAACCAGATGCTCTGATCCTGGACTCTGATTTCACCAGTTCACTATTAATTGATTGATTTTGCTTTCTTAGTTTGGAATGGTCTGGTCTGGTCTGGATCTTGCTCCAGTTTTGGCTCCACACCTGGCAGCACGACACCCCCAATAAGCATAAAAGGAAGGTTATTGAATATCATCGAATGCAGGGAAGGCCACACTCACTGTTGTGTAGGCTGGTATGGGGGGAAGTCAGGGATCGGGGGCGCTGTAGGGTCCGGCAATGCTGGCCTGTCGTCGTCTGGATGGAAACCAGGGTGGCGCTTACCTGCAGGGAAGGAGCAGGTCAAAAAGGCAAAGAGCAGCCCAGTCAGACCCAGGCCCAAAGTACATATAAATAAATAAAGAGATATGTCTGGTTGGAAGACTGAAAGAACCAGGAGATGAAGACGGAGAAATTCTCTCTCTTGTTTGGCAACGTTATTTGTTTTTTGTTTCTGATTCTATGACAGGAAGTGACCGGAAGAGCTTTGAAAACCGAAGACAAAAATAGCAAACAAATGAAATAATGAAAAAGGAAAGTAGAAAATCGGTGCGTGGGGAAAAGAGGAAGACCCTAAAGGAGATGACGAGCTGCTCGGACGTACTCGCTTTTTGCAACGTTCTGATGCGCTTTAAAATAACAGGTGAGTTAGTGGTCCAGTTCCCCCTCGCCTTTGAAATGCATCCAGCTGCCTCCTTTTTCGTTGGGTTTTTTTTAAGCGATCTTTTATTTTACCTAACTGCAGCTCACTGTGTTGGGTATAGGTTGCCCACCTCCAGGTGGGGCCTAGAGACCTCCTGGAGTTATAACGACTCTCCAGAGATCAGCTGTCCTGGAGAAAATGGGTGATCTGGAGGGTGAGCTCAACGGGATTGTGTTCTGAGGAGCTCTCTGCCTTCCCCAGACTTCACTCCCAGAATCTCCGAGGTTTTCCCAACCCAGAGCTGGCAAAGGTCACTGGGTACAGCTCCCTGCTCCTCAACTTACAGGGTCGTTTTATGTGATTAAAGAAAGGAAAGAGGCACGAGGCTGCAAATGAGGGAAGGAGAAACAATACTAAGTCAGAGGTCCCAGTCTGCATCTAGCATTTGCCCCGCCGTTTTACCAAACCCACAATGGAACAGAAATTCCCCTCTGCATGGCAGGCCACTTTCACTTTGATGGATTGTCAGATTTTATGGCAGCGTCCAGACTGCAGGCCCGCTTTCACTTCGTTTGATCTCTTGGTTTTATGGTAGCCGTCTGCATAGATTTATGGTAAACCAAAAAAGAAGGGGAACCAGTGTACAAGGATAGGAACAAAGCACAAGAAACCACTTGCTGAAAATAAACTATATATATATAGAGATAGAGATAGATATAGATATAGATAGATATAAAAATATTAAATTACAAGTTCAGTAATTCAGAAATATAACTATACTAGCAGTAAAGCCCGTTGTGAAAGCAATACAACGAGATCTAGAAAGAGGCTCTGGGGCAGTGCTCTGGCTTTGGGCAAACAGTGTCAATTTGCTGTGGTGACCTCAGCAGGGTATAATGACAGAGTCCACTGTTTTCTCCAGAGGAACTGATCTCTGCTACCTGAAGAGCAGTTGTAATTGTGAGTAATCTGTAGCCCTCACCTGGAGATTGGCAACAATTGTTACCCAGGACAAAATGGCTGGTTTGGAGGGTGGAGTCTATGGCATTCTACCTGTCTGAGGTCCCACCCCTCTGCAAACCCCACCCTCTCCAGGCTCCACCCCTCAAATCCCCAGGAATTTGTCAGCATGTAGTTGGCAACCCCATCTCCTTCCCAGCTAGCCACCAACCTACCATTATCTGCCCCTTTGACTTCAGCTGACTTCTGCCCTCCCTTCTGCAGAACAGTTGTAATACTGAGTGCTCTCCAGCCCTCACCTGGAGATTGGCAACAATGGTTCCCTATGTGGGACTGACTGGTTTGGAGGGTGGAGTCTATGGCAGTGTACCTGTCTGAGGTCCCACCCCTCCTCAAACCTCACCCTCTTCAGGCTCCATCCCTCAAGTCTCCAGGAATTTCCCATCTGGAGTTGGCAACCCTATCAGGACTGGCCCCAATGTGTTTTCTCCCAAAGGCCAAAGTAGGTGACAGGACCAAGCTTAGTTGCCTACCAACAGGCACTGAGGGGAATGTAGGGTTGCCAGCTCTAAGGAGGGAAATACCTGGAGGTTTGGGGGGTGGATTCTGTAGAGGGCCGGGCGACGGAGGCATCGGCCTTCTGTCGCCCGCCTTGCCCCCCCAATCTCGGCCCGGGCGACTGCGTCCCCCGCCAGCGGCCGCCCGACTCCAGACCCCCCCGCGGCCACTCCAGC